AAGCAGTGGTATCAACGCAGAGTACTGTATGACATACTGATCAAATCTGTTCACATTGGTTAATGGTCTTAATGTGCTGGATTTGGAAATAAGGTAGATCTGAGCTCAAGCTACGAAGGTGCTTGTGTCGAGACGCAGACTAATTAGAGTCCGACAGTCCCCTCGCCGACTGGGCGGTGCTACCAACTTCAGATGAGCTGGCACTCCCCGGGTGCTCGGTGGTCCCCTCCCCAATTATGTTCCCTCATATTTATATTTATGTTATAACGATAAAATAATCTAGTCCGAACTGTTGTGTTATTACAAAGGAAAGAAACTAAGGGTAGAGGGATCAAGTTAAGAGAATAGCTGACTCTTCAGACTTGACACCTGGATATTCAAATGAGCAGCTGAAGAACGCGCGACCACCATATTCAACTCAATGGGATCCCTTAGGCGAAGTGAGCATATGCAATCAGAATGTCATACAACCACTGAGGGCGGAATTTCGACGAAATACGCGATTTTTACATTTTGAGCGAAAATTATGAGGACGTCTTTTCGTAGGCTCGTAACTCGGCGAACTTTATAGACTGGAGCCTGAGCATGCACCTTTTGATAGCACAGTTCCCAGTGATTTTGACTTGGAAAAGCAAGCAGGCTAGTTTTCTGACAAATTCGCGAAAAGTGCAGGCAAATTTACGAACTTTCGTGACTCAGTTACAGTCACCTCACAATATCTCTACAAAAAGACCCTGTCTTCTTCAAAGACCGCTATTTTCGTAAACAGCGTGTTCGAAAATTTCTTTGGGCGAAGTTTCTTTACAATCCAAGGTCATCGACATTTTGACCAAAACCCATCGGCGAGCTTCAGGGCGTAGAACGAGAAAAAATCGAATCACCCAAATTTCTTTGAAAACTTGCTCATAGAGGTTATCTGACCTGCTGATTACGAGAATCACATCTGCTTAGCAGTAGAGCTTCTCATTTTAGGGTCACTATGGGCAAAATTTGAGACAACACGATTTTCCAGAATTCACCAGCTCTTCTATCTTTTCTCAAAAAGATTCTCCGGTTGCTTCTTAGCGCTCGATAATCTGCGGAAGCAGCACAATCCAACAGTGCTTAATAGAGTCTTTTATGTTTGATGTGCGCTGCGTTGCGACCTTGTGAATATACGCGCGCAGAAAATTTTGAAAAAATTGAAAACGGAACTTCAAGAACATGCTGTATACAGTAAGATTCGACTTGACAAGATGAACACAAATCTGCTTTCTGATTTCGAAAATGTTCATTCTAAAGAAAGTTACTGCTAGTAAAACTTGGAACAGCTTAATTTTTCCAGAGTTTATCAGCTCTTCTATCTCTTTTGAAAGGGAGTCTTCGGCTGTTGTTTAGCGCACGATAATCTAGTAAAAGAGTACTATCGAACGGTGCCCATGGCAGTCTCCTATGTGTGATGCTTGTTGCGTTACACCCATGCGAAGAGGCGTCGGCATGCAAATTCAAGATTATTGAAAACAAGATATTGGAGACAATCGTATATCGAAAGATTTGCCTTGACGAGCTGAATACAACGTTATTTTCGGATTTTGAATATACTCATTCGGAAAAAAGTTATGGCCCTGCGTAATTTGCGTGATTCACATGAATTTCGCGGAATTCCCGGAAATTTTGCATGTTCTGTGAGTGGTTTTGTACTATAAGAGATAGAGCGATAAAAACTCACACAGCGTTTTCTAAAGTACATTTCTTATTGTATATCAAAAATGATCCAATTTTGTGTCGTCAGTGATAAATGATAAAATGATGATATCAATGACAACGACAGATAAGAATGGCTTAAATTCATGCGGTCGATTTCCACGTTCATCTTCCATATAGGTACAGAATTTCAGCCCAGGCTTCGGCGTGAAGCGAGTTGAAGCAAAAATGCCATTCTAGGTAAGAATTGGCAGCAATGGCATGTGCCGATGAAAAATCGATCGATTGCTGCAGCGAGGGATCTACCAATCGCACCGAGCAATAGAACTAGAAAAGCCTGTAGATCACTTATAATGAGAGAAAGAGCGATAGAAATCCACACAGCTTTTCCTACAGTACTTTCCTTACCATATGCAAAAAATGATCCAAAAATGTGTTATTATCAGTGATAAATGATAAAATGCTTATATCAGCGATAAGGGTAGATAAAAACTGCCCAATTTTTCGCGATAGTTTTCGATAACGAGAGCTTCGTACCAGAACCTCCTATACGCGATTCACACTGTGATAAATGTTCACAAAAGCCTTAACGTAGAAAACAACAAGGTATCATTGTATGCCTACCCCGTCACTATGAACTACGGACATACCGTATATCAAAAGATTCGTCTCATCAAGCTGAAGCCAAATCTTCACTCAGATTACAAATAAAGCTATTTTAAAAGAAGTTATAGCTAAATCCCCCTTATCCCGCAAATCCCGCGAATCCCGCAAATCCCGCGAAGTCGCGAATCCCGCGAATCCCGCGAATCCCGACAATCCCGCCGTTTTGGACAAATTCCACCGCTGCAACTGTATGCATACGATAAAAAAATGGTGTGGCTCTCCCCCCCCCCCCTCTCCCTCAAAAAACCTTTCGGACCGCCACTGCGACCACCCTGCTTGCATGGTCAAAACTTATTATTTCTTCCAGGAGTGTCGCTCAACAACTTCTCAATGGTCAAGATGTTGTGCCGGAATCATTCCCCTCTGTTACCATTTATTTTTCGGATATTGTAGGTTTCACGCGAATATCTGGCGAATCCACTCCCATGCAGGTATGAAGTAAAAAGCACTTCTGAATATTTATGTTCTCACTTTAGGTTGTGACCTTCCTGAACAAACTATATACAAAATTTGATAGGATTATTCAAAAATATGACGTGTACAAGGTGAGTTGTAATACAAGAGGTGGATTGACTTAATTTATGTTGTGAATAACGAGCTCAATGCTATAAGGTGGAAACCATTGGTGATGCTTATATGGTTGTGTCTGGCGTGCCTAACTTCAAAGAGACTCAGTTCCACGCGAAAGAGATAGGTAAGTAGCATGTTTGAGGCACCTTCATCCAAATCGAGCGTGTTGAGATTTTGATGCTCTATGATAGCGGGGCCCCTAATTGAGTAAGCTTCCAAATCTCGCTGTAAAGGATGAATTCCAAAGCGAGGAAACCGCTTCAGAAGGTAGAGGCAGCCCGCCCATCAACGTGGGTGGTTTGAAGATAACAAGTCCAAATTGGGCTTTAATTATCCAGAACTGCGTGGACCCTCCCTTCATCATGCTCATCGAAACTGCGACATTTCTATCTCCAGTCCCGCTTTCAAGCTCATTATCTCCAGACAACACATGCTGATGGCGGAGCCAGCATAGCTGTCTACCTTTTGGAGGGGTGTATGTCAAGAGGCGCCAAGATTTTTATCGTCAGATGGATACGAATTAGCGCATTTTTAGTATCTCATGATGTTCTAGCAGCGATTCAATTTTTTATAGATACTATGATCGTCGCATGGGTTGCTCAATCTTACTATTCTAAACTAGATTCAGAACATAAGTGTTGGAGGTCAAAAACCTTTTGAAACAAACCAATGCCGTTTTCGTGAATATTTCAATCAAGTTTCCACCAAAAGCCGTCAAAATTAGCAGGTGGTAGCTTCAGATGCTTAATAAACCAGAGCACTTTGTCTGGTGTTCTTGAAAGACTCGCGCTCTAAACTGAGCTGTTCGATTTTTGACTCCCCGGAGAAATCGCGTCTCTTGACCGTCTCCCCTTCTGGGTGGAAGCGTTTCTCTTGCTCTGGAATTCATCTTTTGCAGCAAGACTTCGATGTTTGGTTATTACTGCCCCGCCATCATATAAAAACCTCAATTTGGGTGGACGGTGCCATTCTTGGACCTTTCTTATTTCCTCTTTTTAGCTCTTATGGCCTTACGACTCTTGCGCGCCGTGCGAAACTTCAAAATTCCTCATCGGCCTAGTGAACAACTAATGCTACGAATCGGCATCCACACCGGCAGTTGCGTTGCCGGAGTAGTGGGGAAGACCATGCCAAGGTATCATTTATTATTACCACCTATTCGCTTCGAGATGAATGTATTTGGCGAGTTTCAGGTATTGCTTATTTGGTGACACTGTAAACACTGCAAGTAGGATGGAAAGCAATGGAGAACGTAAGATTGTCACAGTTTCAGCCATTTACTGATCTTTTATTTTCAGCGCTAAAAATCCACTGCTCACAGCCTACGCGAGATGTTTTGTCAGCCATTCCCGGTTTTGTACTAGAAGAACGCGGTACCTTATCCATCAAGGTGCGTTAGAGCTTTCATATTGGGTTAATTCAACAGTTCTACCCGTTTTGATCACCTTTTGAACTGCCTTGCTAATTCCATAGGAGAAAAGTTTTTTTTAGAAACACTGCTTATATATTGTAAAAGTTTGTTCTACTTTGCATAATACATCATTGCTATAGGTGTTTGTCCTAATTTAATACCTTGGAAAGACAGCAAAACGAATGTCGAATTTTGCCTTTTTGCTCTAAAGCCGTCAATCCGCGGACAAAAATGGTTAAATTCTTCGAATTTTTGTGTTTCCTATTTATTTGTGCTATAAAATGCCTATACTACCGTAATGCCAGTAGGTGAAAGAGTGTGCAAATTTGCAGGAAAAATTTAACAATTCGCTTCAGAATGTGTTCAGCAGCTGGGGACAACATATTTGGAAGTACCGTCTGAAGCTAATTTCAATGATATATTTTCCAAAAAACGGCCAATAAGTTAGATGCCTTCCCTGCTTAGCACAATTTTGAGACTGTAAATTTACTCAGTTGTGGTAATTTCCCGGTCCTCCCGGTTTTTTTGTAGGCAAAGAAGTTCCTCAAAATCTTACAAAAAGAGCTTTACTGCTCAATCGATTATTGGCTACACAACGAGCACTGCTTATGCGGTTACATTACGTTCTAGACTAACTATGGTTTTTCAAAATAGAGGATCGTAGAAGAAAATGTTTGACACTTTTGCGTGAAAATCCTTCTCGTTGCTGCTACAATGATTTTTGGATATGCATAGAATTGCCAAGGATTTGTAGATCGCGAACAATTTTACTTTAAAGATCATTTCTACAAGCATTATGCTGAGCTGAAAGGACTTCAGAAATGGGTAGAATTTTTAAAATAACCAATTACAAGCGAAACCTACTGCTAGCAAACTGCTGTGTGTTCAGGGAAAAGGCCAGATGACTACGTATTGGCTTCTTGATGCTGAAGGCTATGAGCTATCCGATGACGATGACGATCGTGAAGAGCCGGCGCTTGCTCCAGAGATCTTCCCCAGAAATCCGACCTTCAGGACCATGCGTGGTTCTGGATTCGGTCAGCGGTCCCTCGAATGTGATATTTTGACCTTGTTGTTGCTATTTGAAATTGCTCAATCATCTTCTATTTCAGGGCTCAATCGTGAATCAACCATATCTTTATCTACGCAAAAAGAGCAATCGTTTTTGAAGCGACTAATTGGCACTGTGAAGTCGTCGGCTCAGGTAGGCGTTTGTTAATATTCAGCTTAGCAAACATATCATAAGTTCCGCTCCTTATAGCCTAATGTCGAGTCGCAATCCAGTGCTTTTTACTCGGCGATGAATGGTGGAGTTGTATCCATGGGCAACTCATACAAAGAACTGCCTAGTGTGAACGAAGAAGACTTGCCGGGGAAATGCCAAAACGATGCACCCACTAATAAGTAAGTATCTGAACTCTTCATCCCCTGCATCGTGCTTTGTATTACCACATACTCGCAAAATCTCATTTCAATCACTTAGAAGAACGTTCAGCCGAAGCATACGAAGGCCTCCATTTTCATCGACGAGGAACTGCTTCCAGCCCTCAGTCCGTTCGTCATTTCCTAATGAAAATGATGTGGCTTTGAGAAAAAGGTAGTAGTCTTCATGTTTGGAGGAGTCATTCTTGCTTCGAAAGCTTTTTTTCAGATCGACATCTCTTCCTGATGGCGAAGTGTTGAATTTGGATGTAACTGGGCCAATGACGGGTGCAAATTCTACCGCGCCTGTTTCTTCCTACTGCTCACCGTCTACCCGACACGGTGGACATTATGAAGGCGCAAGCGTAGTAGGATCCAACATCGCTCACTCAAGGTTAGTAACTGGCATTTTTTCGTCGGAGGGAGTTATACGGAGGAGCGTTTGCAAGATTTAGCCATGCTCTTTGCCTCATGAGAGCAGAGCTGTGGCGGACCGTGAAGGGCAGGGGGGGGGGGGCATCTCCCGAAAATGGTTCGTGGAATTTCTGAAATTTATCTAAAAAGTTATAAAGTTGTGACTGTTTTTGCTTGCAAATAATTGAAATATTAGGGTGATCCAAAAGTAATGGGGCACCTAGAGAATAGATGCAGTTTTCTCAAATAGGAAAGCTAATTGGAAGTCGAAGTTTTGGCAGATGTTAGTACATAACAAAACCTTCTGATCGAGGTCTATAGTTGGGCACTGTCACATGGCGTTATTTTTATAAGCGCTTAAAATGAAAGCTCATCACTTCAAGCAATTTTGAACTTTGATCAGCAGCGCCGCAGTATAACAAGTGAGCCTATCAAAGATATGTGCGCAGCAATGGGTGAGGGGACTGTCACCAAATCCACAATAGCTCGGTGGTCCCAAGGCTTTAGAATAGAGGATATAGCATTTGGTATCAAAAGACATAGTACTTATTCTCTCGTCAAGGTAATCAAATAAGCTCAACTTTAACAGTTGCTTTCTGATAGTGCTTTTTACGCTCTATCCACACATATGCAAAATACTTCGACTTTTTTCGTTTTCAAAAAATTGTGGTCCAAAACATGAATTTTAGTCTAAAAATCTGCGCCAAACACCCCACATTTTCGAATAAAGTGCCTTTTTTGTATGAAATAGTGGGCATTTTTTGATTAACCAAGTAATCATTAGCAAGAACTTGGAAAGCTCTTTCGAATGGTATGCCATATGTTGAGGGTCCTCCAGGTGCAGCAGCACAAATTCGGATGGCGTGCAAAAAAGTCTGTCTGACTTTTTTGAAGCGCCGCTTGAAGGAATGTCGGTGAGGTGCTGCAAGGTGATGTCAGGATAATCTGCAAAGGTCACTTTATATAAAAGCGTTCAAATTGCTGGTTGTTCATAGCTAATCAGGAAGAAATCTTGAAGAATTTTTCAAAAAAATCCGGGTGCCCCATTACTTTTGGATCACCCTAATAGTTTTTGAGTCCTATGTTATCAAATCTTTGAATCAGTCCTGTCAAAATTTTTCGGGTAAATTTTTTTTCTAATTGAGAAAACCCACCCACCTTGAACGAGATTCCTCGGACTGCCACTGTCTGCTGCATAATAACCTTCTAGAAATGGTTAGATCGTCAACGCGCTCAGAAACTTCTGACAGGCGGCATCATACGTACTTATCACAAGACTTTTGCACCATCATAATGCGTAAACGCAAGGGATTTAGCTTTTCTTTAAAAAAATGCTGAAAAGGACTGAAACGACTGTGTTCCCTCTATGCTCATTGAAAGAGCTAGGCAAATCTGTGCATCGATGGTGGCTCCGGTCACTAATGTGGGTGGTCTGAAAATAGGGAATCCAAAACGAACATCAGTATAGCCAAAATCAACGAAAATTCGATAAGTATAATGAAGGGCGGATTCTCTATAGCTTTGGATACATTGAAAATCAGTTTTCTCTTTGTTATCTCTAAACTCCTTTAGTTGATAAGCGGAGCTACCACTGCGTCCTTTACTTTCTGGAGCGCTTTGTAATTCATCTTCTGCGGCGGAGCTAGGGCCGTTAATCAGTTAGGGAGTGAGCTATTGTACCGCATCGAAATCTCATCACCTGAATTTTGGTGGAAGGCCCTTCCAAACTGTTCGAAAGATCTTTCCGTATTTTTTACTTTCGTCTTTCGATTATATCGATTTTAGTAGCTCCCGCACGATGCAGTCGTCCTCGCCAAGTCCAAGTCATTACCCTTCGTACAAAGATCTCGCTGATCTTCCATCTATACCAAGGTGCTTTGAGTGCTTACCTTTTTGTCTTTTATTAGGAGGTCGCTAACAAAGCGTCGCCGTCAATGTGATCCGTAAAGTTCTGAAACGGAATTGAATCATGTTTGCATTCTTCCACAGAATTACTGCGGCCAACATGAAAACATTTCAGTTCCGTTTCGGAATGGTTTAGGTGGAAGATGTGATGTGTTAGAGCATGTGTAAAATTCATAGCTTCTTAGATATCTGTTCTCTACTAACCATGTGTTCAGGAAACAAGGTATGGCATTCATTGTGCGACCTTCTAGAAAGCGATCGCTGTCTGTTGGTGACAATGTGAAACACACGACGTCGACTCACTTTGACGATGGTTTATCAGCAAAGGTAGATCTTAACGATCCCTTGATTAGTCCGCCAAAACGACGCCAACGCCGACGTTTTAAGAGCAAGGTGGGTATTTGAGCACACTGCATGCTGGTCACTTCAATGTTGTGGAATGGGGTCACAGTATCTCACAAGGAGAGGATACTTAGTCAAAAGCACCATTTCAAAGGAGACATACATCATCTGAAAGCGCTTGAAACGCTGATTCCAAATCGATAGTTTCTAGCTGCGGAACGGTTTTGTAAAAAGAGTTATGAGGGTGTTTCCCTCTGGGGTTGAGGCGCCCTTGAGATGTCGGCTTTTGTCTACGAGCATTATAGAAACACAAAATGGTGTAATGGTAAGTAATCTAAATGAAGATCACAATAAGGATTATAATACTCATATTACTTTGGTTTCTTAACACTTCTAACTTTGATTAGCATCAATATCATCAGAAATGTCAGGCTTTGAGGCTCCAAAGCCATTTATAAGCTTAACTAGTTGGCATACCCGGCTCCGCCCGGGCCTGTCATTATCATATTCGTAATCAGCATGCTCGATTACCCCCCTATGCCAACTCCCAGCCCTGTAGCTCAAATTTTGCAAAAAATCGATAAAATCGATATCGATCGATAACGAAAAGTAGCCTATGACACGCTCCCTGCCCCGAAGTATATGTGTGCCAAGTTTGGTCCCGATCGGTTCAGAAATAAAAATTTCTATTCCGCACATACGTACAGACATACATACAGACAGACATACATACATACAGACAGACATTCAGCTTTATATATAAGATTTTGCGAAAATTGCGATAAAGTGCATGCGAAGGGGTTAAAACCTTGACACTTTCCCTATCAGGCAAGTCACTTACCAGTAGACCAGTTGCCACTAGTTGCTACTCCTCTACAGTGCTCATAGATAAGGGGAGACCTACTGGAGGTCGCCTCAAACCTAGAGGGGAACACCCCTCATACCTCCTTCTACAAAACCGTTCCGCAGCTAGAAACTATAGATTTGAAATCAGCGTTTCAAGCGCTTTGAGATGATATATGTTTCATTTGAATTGGTGCTTTCTACTAAGTATCCCCTCCTTGTCAGTTGAATAAAACTTGGAGTTGCCAACACACTAAAATGTGGAAATATTACGCAAGCAATGTCTAAGGGGTCCAAAAACAGCTAAAATTGATACTCTCTTCAGCTTTTCAAATTCATTACGTGAAATTTGGTACGAAGCTTCAGACCGCTTCTCATACAGAAGATACATAGTGTACATGAAGTATAAAAGTATTCATAGCATTTGTTGATTTTTTTTTCAGCATCGAAATCGAGAAAAAATGCTTTGAAAACAACTCCCCTCCCCCAGATCCTCCCACATACGTGATTGCATACCGCAAGCTTTAGTAAGCATAAGATCAATCTTAGAATTGTGCTTTTGCATGTGCTCTGATAATTAAGAACTGCCAAGTTCAAAAGTTGGAAAACAGAAAGAGTGAGAAAACCATTATTACATTTCGGGCTGTTTTTCTTTCTTGTTTTGAGCCGCTCAAAAAACCAAGCAATTGTAAGCCTATCTATGAGTATTACTGTGTGTCTACTGTATGATGACCAAGTTGAAGGTCCATAAGAATTTTGCAAGTGATCCGATTTCCCTGAAAATTCCAGTTTTTTGGCTCCAGATACCTGGGATTACGACTTAAATGGATATTTCTGAGAACTTTGTAGAACTTACTTTGTTTTAGCGTGCTTTAAGTCTGCCAGAAAAAAAACACTTCGATTTAGGAAAGGGCTTTACTTTTGAAGCAACTTAATTGTTCGAAAAGAGCTCAAGCCTCAGTTACAGCCGCGTTATGCTCGCATCGCAGGCAACGTACCCTTTGCTTCAACCAGATCGGCGGTTGGAAGACGGGGTTTTATGACCTAGTAGGCGACGGCTCGCGCCCGCGACGCAGTCTGCGGCTCCTTGCGAACATGCTCTCCGATCATTTTCTAGCCTTAATTAGGTCACGCAGTCCCGCCTTCCAGCCGCCGATCTGATTGAAGCAAAGGGTATACTTATGTGAAGCTCTCAATGGCACATACTGTAGCTGCTTACGCATAGCTCATGGACAGTACTTCTACTGGTGAATGATCGAGTAAACGTACGCAAGATAATATCTCGAATCGGATAGGGGAAGCCAAATATCCAAGTCATCCGGTCTCAGGATCTCTTATCTGTGCCTACCATCACGACTGTTAGCGTATGTCGATCGTGTACTAATTATCATATGGCCTCTGTCTAATTTGGAGTGAGCCTGACTCGAGCGACTCGGGTTCCTCACCCTGTGCCTTGTTTGCGAAAGGTTCTGACCAGTTTCCTAAGCCTAATTAACGATTACGATCGCCTCTGAGCTCAGCCGTGGGAAAATGATCAGATGACACGTTTGCGAACGCGGCGCAAGGTCCAGGCAATGCGACCGAGCGGGACCCAAGCCGCTCGAATCGAGTTCACTCCAATCGAGTCGATATGTAGATATATCGCGGTGTCTTGCGTTCAAGCGTTCGCTGTCTCTAAGATATTCGGATGTACGCTTAATATTAACTCTATTCACGTACATCCCTCGTCCATTTCGCCTAAAAGCGTCGGTAGCAGTTGGCGTCGTAAATAGGTCTTGGTCACGTTGATGTCTTTCGTTGTGATATGTTCGTGGAGATGACGATGGTGAGTAAGCCACTGCCAAACAAATGATTTTAGGAAAGGAAATCAATTCTGTCCCTACAGCATTTGAGAGATCCGTCACCGCTGCAGCGGCTTCGCGATGCTTCACCGTTTGGCAGAAATCTTTGGAATGGAAGGTAAGCTGCTTTTTTTTTGGGAAAAATTTGAAGCGTTTTGCCTCTTCTCGCCGCCTTTTTCTAAGCGTGCGTCATTACACTTCTCCCATTGTTCGGCTGTCATTCACTAGCTCACTCCACGTTTTTAGGGAACGAACTGCATCAGTGAATCGTTTCTTAAGGCGATTAGCCAATGGAGTGAGTTCACAGTATGTTGATCTCAACAATTCCACGGACGACACCTGCGACTATGTTGGAAATGAGATCAGCCACGGTTTGTCCAACACGCTGAACTTCTCCAGCAAATATTTGCATTCAGTTCCTCTTCTTCAATCGTGCGAAAAGGAGGCGGAAGAGAAGGACGGACAAGCCGATCCTCTCATTCCAGTGGTCACGCTGTGATTACGTGAAATCCAGCGTGACCACTGGAATGAGAGGGAATTTTTTATTTTCATTCACTTTATGAATTGTTATTTTCTTTATTGTTGATTTCGGGTGAATCTCAGGTATTTCATTGATCTCTAATATATAGTGTTTCCATCCTTCTCTATCTTATACGCGTTAAGAGGTACGCGTTTAACCTAGATAAGAATGGAAAAGTTGATAAAGGAATAAACGTTTTGATCGCTCATATACATAACATGCTATTGATGCGCTCGGAGACAGGACTGTTGGCTAGTAGTTCAAAAGTTGTACGAATAGTGAAGTTGTGATAGTTGTACAAGAGTACGTGATATCTGCGATCATTCCTTGGTGACTACCAGCGCTTTTACTCGTGGGCAAGATCCTGTTGCAAGTTGTTAACACATTCACGACAGAGCCATTTTTTCGAGTGCTGCCATTTCGGACCAGAGCCTTTTCTGCTTTGCCAAATTTACGACCCACCGGTGGGTCGTATTGTCCGAAATGGCAGAACACGTACGACCCACCGGTGGGTCATATTGTCGTGAATGTGTCAAAGGCTGTGTAAAGGCAAATTTGGGCACATGGGTTCTTCGCCTGGAAACTGATGAGTGGGCCATAAGTAAGGCACTGCCCAAACGGCAGCGCATATGATTCATTCACGGCTGAGAAATCCATCCCCAAACCCTCCGCGCCTGCGCCATGACCGTGCTCACTTCAACACTACGCGCTGGGACCCATCTTGACTTAATCGCAAGTTAGGTCACAGCCGCGGAGTGATCGGATCTTCTCAGCCGGGAATGAATGATTTGCGCTGCTGTCTGGGCAGCGCAAATCATTCATGCCTTGCTTTAGCTAGGACCCCTTCGTCATTTTGGGGGCAGAAAACCCATGCACCTAGATTTGCCTGAACACAGCCTTTAAGTTTCGCTGAACTTTGTCTTCAATGACATTTTTCGGGAAAAATCTGCAGTTTCTGTTGTTGACAATGAAATGGAAGGCTTCACTTTCTTTGTAAGCGCGACCACTGCTCACTTCTACGCTAATGGAAGTCAGTTATGATAATTCGAAAGCTCAATCTATTTTGAGTAGCTGCCTTATGGTACAACTACTCAACTTTTCATACAAATACTTGAAACGACTGACCTCATCACTTAGCTAGACAGCAAAAGGATACGGGCAAGGTCAAGCGTGGGATGAGACACGCCACGCCTGGGGGAGGAGTCGTATTGAGGGGTCAGAGAGGACGGAGCCGTAATCGAGGTGATAGTGATGTTAGCAATAATCTGATGTTAGTAGGGGTGTCAGATAAGGCCATTATGCAAAATAGAAGCACACTGAGGTATCCGAACTATCATGGTCGAACATTAAGCATAAAGAAGTTCCATCAGACGTAATGGGTATCGTTTTCGTAATTAGCATGTAAATTCCTGTGGACCATATTTTACTAAATCTGAGGTGTCAGGTATTAGGGCGCTTAATGGTGTTTATTATCTAAAAGTGTAATTTTGTTCTAAAATGAGTTGGTCATTTCTTTTTGCCTCGTTACAAAGCATCGTTTCTTGGCCGAAAGAGCAAATCCCATGTCAAAGTACCGCCAAACTAAGGAATTGGAAGCCAGTCAAAATCTCGTTTGCTCCTTTTTTCAGTTATCAATAGTTGGCTTTCAGCAACCTTTACACAAATCGAAAAAGGCGAATCGGGTTTAGATCTTAGGTTGTAAATTTATATCTTTATCTTCATCTAATGAACGTAAACGTGTGCAGAACCACTATGAGTAACACCAACCACATTGCTAGGGTAAAGTATACTGGTCTGTCACCTTAGCCATAGCAAACAAGCAGTAGATAAGGGCTACCACAAATTTGAGGAGTACAAAAATTCTATCTGTTTATGGGAGGTGAGGTGGTTGCATTGGAAAATGCCACTGCCATTGTTCTGGGCTGTCCAGAACGCGCGACTGGTTCCTGCTAGGTATCTAACAACCTGGCACCACAGACGCTTGGAACCTGCCTTAATTTGAGAAAGCCATGCGATTCCAAACGCAACTTTTTACGGTCCCAAGGAGCAGTGCTGCTGTTCATCCGAAAATGGATGACAAGCTAGCCAAGTAATGGTTAGTAAACACCATAAGGTTCCTTTCCGTTATCCGGGCTCATGTTTTCAAAAAAGGATATTGCTTTTTTTTGCCAAATTTGCTAAAAACCTTACAGTTTAGAGAGTCAACCACCTGCCACATGTTAAAAAATTGACATGTCGTTACCAAGTTTCTGTTTAGCCTACCCATCAATGTATGTTTGATCTGTTTTTTTTATCACTAACGACCCCATTTTCATTTAACAGTTTCGTGATTGAGCGTTTCTGTGTTTAATAAACACATCAGATCTCCCGAAACAATCAAGAGCGACTTTTAATCTAAGCGACGAGACAGTTGGCAGCCAAGTATTAGATTGTAACAGAATTAATGCAGGTTTCTCGCGCACCTTTTTCAAAATGCTGGTTTAGAAAGGGCAAGTTTTCTCGGAGAGTTTTGCATATCTTTGGAAGCGCTTTTCCTCTAATTTCTTATGCATTCTTTCATTTGAGCGGAAGCGAATTTGTCTAGAAGTTCTGAGCCCATAAATTTGAGAAACCAAATCTCGAAATTCTTTCTTTCAATATACCTGGCTCTAAAACCACCAAAAACAAGCGGAATTTGCTGCAAATTTACATAGTATTTTTGAGTGAGCTATGTCACAAAATGCATGTTGAATCATAAATTCTGAAATCATCTGAGCCGAGAAATTTCAGAGCAAAATTCAACGGTTGCTGTGGTCCGTTGCCCTACATAAAAATCCTCAGCGCGAAGCGACTGCAGAGCTTCCGCTTTATATAGGAAGAATAGACTTTAGACATTTATGGCTAAAAAAATTGGGAGCCGCTCTACCTATTCAGCTTTGAAAAACTCAAAAGTTTCAGAAAAGCGTTTTTTCAAATTCTCAGAAAAGTCGAAAAAATGGGTACTTTCAAAATTTTTTCGAATATCCTCTCGCAAAGATTTTTTCATTTCCGAATTTAGCACTGCTGCACTACCAACCATAGGCTACCCAATGAGTTATGTGTGCGCTACATTACTATATTTGATAGTAAGTTATGGTTTCTCAAAGTGAAGGTTTCCCGAAAAAATTCTTGGCAGAATTCGGGCTATAAGATTTTTCTCGGTGAAGCTACAACAACACGTAATGCATACTGAGTTGAAAAAGGTTTGCTGATTACAGCTTATTGTTGCTTACGAAAAGACTCTTTGTGTAAAGGTTATAATTATCCAAACACAAAATTTAGAAAACCTGCATTAATTCTGTTACAACCTAATACTTCAAGCCATCGTCTATATCAGGTCATTCCGAAAGTAATTTCGCTTTTTTCAAACGGATGCCACATGTGACGGAACAAAGATATCTAAGATATCTTGGTAGCATTCGATGCAGCATTTCATACTCTTTGTAAAAGTAATGAAATCGTTGCAGCACACTCAATGAGCTTTCGGACCAAGCTTTTTGAGATGGTCAAGTTTCACAATTTTTCAAATCTTTCACATCAACCCTCAGAAGGAATTAAAGTAACGATTAGAAAGAGCAAACCTCATAGGATACAGCACAACTTTTCTCTCTTTTTCAAAGCTTGCCGTAATTTTTTAAAAGATTTTTTACCAAAACCATCGGGTTTTGGCGGGCCTACGTCAGCCACATTCGCATCAAACACCAATAAATCTTCGAAATTTGAAACTTCCAAAATGGTATACGACTTGATATTGGCTCTACAAAGCAGATGAGGGTATATGGATTCGAAATATCAAATTTCGAGTTTTTCGGGTACAGGCTTGGGGGTGTTCAAAAACATGAGTTATGATGATTTTATCCCCGAAGACTGAACGAATCGGAAACAAAAAACACCCATTAGAAAGAGGAGAACAAGCTGCATCGAATGACACCCGAGCTGCTTACCGCTTGATGTTCCACGTGGTTTAAGTTGACCAAGAATGGAAATTGGTAGCATCAATTAAAATTCTATTAAAACACATGACGAGCTATGGAAAGGAGTGAAAAATTGTTTTGTATCCTACAGGGTTTGCTCTATCCATTCGCTACTTGGGCTTCTTCAGAGGACTCATACAAAGATTTTGAAAAATAGCTGAAGTTGACCATAGCAAGAACCAGTGGTCGCAGAATCTCTGGATTTTCAGAGAGCTCATTGGCTGCGCTGTAAAGTTTTTATCTAGAAAGAGGATGAATTTTTGCATCGAATGCTACCAAGATCTCTCAGAAAGCTTTGTTCCTTCAGGTGTGGGGCCAATTTGGAAAAAGCGAAATTACTTTCGGAATGACCTAATATTATTTCCGGCTAAATCCATATGGCGGAAACAATATGAAGAGCAGTATTTTTTAGAATTATTACTGAAGTTATCAATAAACGTTTTAAAAAACGTTTGAAACTGTTTTCTATAAAATAATCTTGAACAGCTTTCGAGTCATTTCAAATGCTCTGGTACCTCATCGTAAATGGTTTTGAAAAAAATGTCGAGCTGGCCCCAAACGAGTTAGTTTTTATCTTGGCACATGACAAGGAGACAGTCCTCACAAGATCTATGAACAAATCTCTAAGCTGAAGCACGCACTTCATGAGAACATTTTTGGAGAATGGATCCGGTAACGAAAAGGGGAGGCGGTCGATTGATAGGCGTATATCGCGGCGCGACGTCGCGAGCGACAAGCTGGACGAGGCTGCGTTCGCGCGATTGCCGCATGGCTCACGCGCACCGGTGCAAAATGGGTGCGGAATATCGTAAGCCGGCTGGGCGCGCGTGCCGACTATGGCGGCGAGCTTTGGCGACGAGGGCTTTGTAGTATAACGCACGTCCTCCCGATTGATACCCGTACAGCCGCTCGCAGCCGCACCGTGTGGTAATTAACGAGGTGCGACGCGGCCATAATTGCGCTGCGCAACGCGGCAGTCCCTCTAGCTTCCCGAACCTCTCTCGCTTAGGATCTCTCGTCATAGCATTCTGAGGTGCGAAACGACCTATGTCGCGCATCACACTTCAGATAAGCCGGTGAAACAGACGAAAATATCTTCGAAATATTTGAATCGATTGACATGATCGTTATAAGCAAAAAGAAATATGAATTTCAAATCAAAATTTAAATCAATTTGTGTATTCAAAAAAGTTAATCTTCTCCTACACTTCGTAC